CATTGGATATAGGAGAAAACAAGTAACAGGACAGGATCCTACCACAGAGGGCCTCTGAAAGACTCTACCTAGCAGTGTATCAAAGCAGATCCTAAGACTCATAACCAAACCTTCAGCATAGTGTAGGGAATCATATGAAAGAAGGGGGAGTTAATATGACATGGAGAGGATAGGAGCTCAACAAGGACCAAATATATCTGGGCACAGGGGTCTTATATGAGACTGTTTCTCCAACCAAGGACCATGTATGGACATAACCTAGAACATCTGCTCGGATGTAGCCATGGTAGCTCAGTAACCAAGTGGGTACCCTAGTAAGCAGAACAGGGACTATTTCTGACATGAACTCAATGGCAGGCTCTTTGACCTCCCCACCCTCCAAGGGAGGAGCAGCCCTACTACCCCACAGAGGAGGACATTGCAGGCAGTCCTGAAGATACCTGATAAAACAGGGTCAGATGAAAGGGGAGGAGGTCCTCCCCAATCAGTGGACTTGGAAAGGGAGGAGATGAGGGAGGGAGGGTGGGATTGGGAGGAAATGAGGGAGCAGGATACAACTGGGATACAGAGTTAATAAAATTCAACCAATAATAAAATAAAATAAAACACACACAAAAAAAATATTAGACACAGGGTTACATGTATGAGAGGGTTTTTCTAAAACAAGTAATAGCATAATTCCTTATTAGTTTTTCAGACATCCTTATTATTTTACCAATCTCCCTTCTTCCGTATTTACCTCCCACCCATTCCCTAAAGAGCCTTCTGTTTTCCCATTTCCCTGGTAGATTTGCTTGTATCCAGTTATTTCTCTCTTTGTTGCTTCACCAAATCCCTATCCTGGAAGAGGTTCTGTTTACTTTCCTGGTTTCTAGAGTTACTACAGGCTATGTACTCACGTCCAAAGATTTAAAGCTAGGGACCTCCAATAAGAGAGAACATGAGAAGTTTGCATTTTGGGTGATCAATGTGATCTTTTTCTAGTTTCATTCATTTACTTGTAATATTCCTGATTTTATTTTTCTTTACAGATGAATATTATTCCATAGTGTACACATGCCAGATTTTTATTACCCATTCATTCATTGTAGTACATTTAGATATTTTGTTGTTGTTCATCTTCTTCCCAGTTCCCTAGCTGTCATGACTAGGGCAGCAATGACCATGGCTGAACAAGTATTTGTGGAATAGGATGCTGAGTCCTTTGGTCATATGCCAAGGAGTGGTATAACTGAGTTCTATGGTAGATTTAGTTTTAGCTTTTTGAGAATTTTCCACATAGATCTCCAACATGACTGCACCAGTTTGCAATCCCACCAACAGTGACTGAAGATTCATTTTTCCCCTCCTTCCCCTCCAGAATTTGTTGTTGGTTGTTCCGTTGATTTTTGCCATTCTAACTGGACTAAGACAAAATCTGAAAGTTTTCATTTGCCTTTTTCTAATTGCTAGGAACGATGAACATTTGTTGAGATATTTATTAGCCATTTTTTTCTCAGTATTTCAGGTTTCATATTTAGGTCTTTGATCTATTTGGAGTTGCTTTTGTCCAAAAAGTGATAGATATGGGTATAATCTCATTGTTGCTGCGTGTGGCTGTCCAGTTTCCCAGCATCATTTATTGAAGATGATCCCCTCCCCGTGTTGTTTTTAGCATCTTTGTCAAATATGAAGTTGTTGAAATTAATTTGTGCTCATGTTTGGGTCTGTGACTTTTTTCCATTGGCTACATGTCTGGTTTTGTGCCAGGACTGTTGGGTTGACCTTTCCACATATTGAGAATGTATGTCCCTGCAGAGAGCCAAGTACTGGCAGGATTTTGGTATTGTAATTTCCATGGCCCATTACTGATTTTCTATTTGTAAATGCTTGTCCTTCCTCACCTGCCAAAGGGCAACCCAGAAGAGATGGATTGGACATTGTCTTGACGCTGATTGGTTCAGGCTGGAATGAGGCTTTTTGTGCAATAAAGAGCTGGGACAGGAAGTATGAGGATGGGACTTCTGGGCTGGCAGAGATGCAAGAAAGATGCAGGAGATGCAGACAGATACAGAGGGAGACAGGGAAACAGAAGGAAGATGGAAGAGAGACAGAATGGATCAGGGAGGTACACAGTGAGAACCACATGGAGACACAGTGCCAGAGAAGTCACGTTAGTAGCTAGCTGAAGGCAAAGGCCAACAGCTTTAAACTACAGAGATGTCTCCATGTCTTAACTAAACCTCAAGCAGGAGCTGTGCAAACCCAGCAATACAGACCATACTGTGTTTACAACTATTACTCTGTAGTATATCTTAAGATCTGGAGTTGTGATCTGTTCAGCATTAATCCTTTTGCTCAGGATTGTTTTGGCAACCTCTGTGGCATCTTGTGGTTCCATATGAAATTTTGGATAGCTCTTTTTCTATTTTCGTAAAGAATGAGGCGGAAATTTTGATTGGGATTCTTTTTTATTTTGCATTGAATGTGTAAATGGCTTTTGATAGAATGTTCATTTTAACAATGTTGATTCTACCAATTCATGAGCATGGGATGTCTTTCCATTTCCTTTTGTCTTTCTCATCTTTCTTTAGAGATTTAAAGTTTTCATTGTAGAGATCCTTCATATCCATGGCTAGTTTACTCACGCATATTTTATTTTCCCTGGTGTTATTATGAATTGGTTTGTGTCTATAATTTTCTCTGTATGTTTGTTGTCGGGGAATTAAAAAGCTATTGGTTTGTGCAGTTTTGCTGAATTTGTTTATGATTCCTGGAAGTTTTCTGGTATAATTCTTGGGGTTTCTAATGTATACTATTATGTCATCTGCAAATAGGGATAGTTTGACTAATCTTTCTCTCTACTTATATCCCTTTAATTTCCATCTTTTACCTTAATACTCCAGCTAGTAGTTTGAGCAAAGTATTGAAAAGGAATGGGAGATTCCTGTCTTGTTCCCACTGGGATTTTTGCAAGCTTTTCTCCATTTAGAATAATGTTATCTGGGGTTTCTCAAATATAGTTCTTACTAGATTGAGGTATGTTCCTTTAGCCCTATCTTCTCTAGGACTTTTATCATGGAGACATGTTGGATTTTTTTTTTCAAAGTCTGTCTCTGTATCTGTTGAGATAATCATGTGATTTTTCTCTTTAAGTCAACTTAGTGGTTAATAACATTTATTGACTTGTGTTTGTTGAACCATCCTTGCATTTCTGGGATAAAGCCAACTTGATCATGTTGTATATTCTTTTGTGATACGTGTCTGTATTCTGAATGCATGTATTTTATTGAGTATTTTTGAGTCTATATCAGGGATATTGGTCTGTAATTTTCTTTTCTCTATTGTGTCTTTACCTTGTTTTGGTATTAGCATGATACTGGCTTCTTAGAAGTGGTTTGGGAGGGCTCCTTCTGTTTCTTTTTCTTTTTCTTTTTTAATAGTTTGAAAAGGACTGGGTGTAAATTTTTTAATGTCTAATACAATTCTTCTGTGAATCCATCTGGTCCTGGACCGTTTAAATTTTTTTTAACCTTAAAGGCTTTTTATTATTATTTCAATCTCTTCATTTATTATGGGTCTGTTTATTTTGTTTACTTCTTCTTGGTTTAATTTTGATAATTTGGCTGAATCTAGGAATACATCCATTTCTTTAAGGTTTTACAGCATGATAAAGTGCAGGTTTTTAAAGTATTTTCTTTGATGCTTCCATGTTCATTTCTGATTCTGTTAATTTGGATTCCCCCTCCCCCTTTTTTTGTTAGTTGGGCCAATGGTATGTCAATTTTGTTTATATTCCTTTTTATTTATTTATTTATTTATTTATTTATTTATTTATTTGCTTATTTATTTATTTATTTTTACTATTAATTGCACTTTATTCATTTTGTATCCCCCCATAAACCCCTCCCTCCTCCCCTCCCGATCCCACCCTCCCTCTCCCTTCTTCATGCATGCCCCTCCCCAAGTCCACTGATAGGAGAGGTCCTGTTCTCCTTCCTTCTGATCTTAGTCTATCAGATCTCATCAGGAGTGGCTGCATTGTCATCTTCTGTGGCCTGGTAAGGCTGCTCCCCCCTCAGGAAGAGGTGATCAAAGAGCAGGCCAATCAGATCATGTCAGAGGCAGTCCCTCTTCACATTATATATGTAACTCACTTCGACACTGAACTGTCATGTGCTACATCTGTGCAGGGGTTCTAGGTTATCTCCATGAATAGTCCTTGATTGGAGTATGAGTCTCTGGGAAGTTCCCTGTGTTCAAATTTTCTGGTTCTGTTGCTCTCCTTGTATGGTTCCCGTCCTCTCTAGCTCTTACTATTTCCCACTTCTTACATAAGATTCCATGCACTCTGCCCAACAGTTGGCCATAAGTCTCAGTGTCTGCTTTGATAGTCTGCAGGGCAGAGGCTTTCAGAGGCCCTCTGTGGCAGGTTCCTAGGTTGTTTCCTGTTTTCTTCTTCTTCTGATGTCCATCCTCTTTGCCTTTCAGGATGAGGATTGGGCGTTTTAGTCAGGGTCCTCTCTCTTGCTTAGTTTCTTTAGGTGTACAGTTTTTAGTAGGTTTATCCTATGTTATGTCTATATGAGTGAGTATATACCGTGTGTGTCTTTCTGTTTCTGGGACAGCTTACTCAGGATGATCCTTTCTAGGTCCCACCATTTACCTGCAAATTTCATGATTTTTTTTTTTAAAGAACCAGCTTTTTAGATTTGTTGATTCTTTGTGCTGTTTTCTTTGTTTTATTTCACTAACTTCTGCTCTGATTTTTATTATTTGTAATTGTCTACTAGATTTGCCTTTAATTTATTCTTGTTTTTCCACATTTTTACATTTTCCCCATAAGACTGCTTTCAACTTATCTGAGAGGTTTTGCTGTATTTTCATTTCAATTTAGTTCCGGGAAGTTTTCATTTATTTCTCGATTTCTTCTTTGACGCAGTCATTATTCAGTAATGAATTGTTAAATCTCCATGAGTTTGTATATCTTAGCAGAGATTTGCATGCTATCCATTCTGTAGGACATTTGAGCACACTGGGATTGGTAAGCTGGTATCTCTGAACCTGATGCTCCCCAGGGCCTGCAAGAAGAGCTCTGCAGATGAAGAGGTAAGTGACAGTATGTGTAAACCAAGAGTGGTCTTGGCAGAGTAGAGGATTTGAATGAAGGAATGAATGTAGGGAGGCAGGGTGGAGGAGAAGAAAGAAGATCTAGTAGAGTGTTGATCTGGAGCTCCTGTACATACTAATTAAGCAGTAGGTATGACAAGCCCTTAATGTCCTGGGGAAAGAAGCCCAGTGGACACTGAAGGCAGGTGTCTGAGCCCAGGAAGGGCTTACCATAACCAAGATGGCATAGGGAAAGCCATGCAGCCCCTGCTGAGAAGAAATGCCTGTGTTCAGTGAATAAAGGGTATTTATTAGGTTCAGGACATATGTGTTTGGGGATCTCAGTGGCTCTGAAGGTTACTGTGGCATGCACAGGCCACACTGACTGAAGTACCATAGAGTAGAAGTTAAAGGAAGTTGGAATAAGAACCGGAGGCTCAGGCCATGGGAATGGGACCTTCCCTATAGACACCTGGAAGACATTTTGATTCCCTCACTCTAAAAGACAGCTGTAACTTCAAGCCAGGGCTGCTTCCTTTGCATCCTGAGCTTGGGAAATGAGCTCCCTCCCTCATAAGTCTTAGAACAAATCACAGAGGACAAAGTGAGCCCTGGAGCTTGAGGCTTTGAGGCCTGGAGAGTAGATAGATACTGTTATTCAAGACCTACTACCTGGACTGAAGCCCCAACAGTGGCAAAAGGAGCCAGCAGGGCAGGGCTGCAGCTTCTATCTCAGGTGATTGATGGAATTCTGGCTAAGATCTGATTCACAGTGGGGCCCAAAACTCAAGCTGTGGTTATTTCCACAATCCCAAATGTGTAATTAAGATATAGTCTTAGAAATTGGACGTTTCAGCAAAAGAAACAGCTGTCACTCCAAGTAAGTAAAAGACTCAGTTTATTCGAGACTGTGTATGAGTAACCATGGCCCAGTAACAAAGATTCGGGTTACTCCACGATCCTGTTTTCCAATGTGGAGGTAATTACATACATTTATAGTTTTACAGAACAAAGACAATTATAAATCAGGACAGGTTTAAAAAACATGAGACACTGGAGGGGAACATCGAGATGGGGAAGCTTTTTTATAAGCCACTCTTAGCTCTTGGATTGGTGGAAGTTAGTGTTCCGCTTCTAATAGGTTTTTATGTATTATCATGAGATGTTTAGAATCAACAGAATCGAAAAGGTTTCTTACTTATTATTACAAGGTGTTAGTTCAGATAGAGAGTATGGCTGTTCCAGAGGGTTAACTATTGGCCCTCTGGCAAAATAGTTAGCTTCTGAATTTACAAAATTCCAATCTCTCCACAGTACTGAGAATCTAATAAGTCTACCAGTCTCTAAAAACAGACTCCTTCCAGGAGCATTTTGTTCAGAGGCAGACACATTTTCTTTTCAGGAATTTTCATTCACAGCGGAATGCCCACATATGTTCCCTCACCTGCTGTGTGAAGGCTATTATGGTTGAGATAATCAAATTGAGGCCATTGGAATGGTTTTTCTTTTAACTAAGTAAAAGAGCAAATCAAAACCAATATCACATTCCCAGAGGGATTATATAAATCAATGCCACCATCAAGGATTTGAAAGATGCAGAGATGACGGTTCCCACCACATCTCACTTTAACAGTTTTATTCTCACAGAAAACATATGGAGACTTACATGATGGAGCACTCATTCAGGGAGAATGGCTGTTGACAATGATGAAGTTACTGCACTCGCTGTACCAGATGTGATTTCCTCACTTGAGCGGTTTAAAGTACCTCCAGATACCTGCTAAACAGATAATGACTTCATAAATGGTTTTTTTAAAAACACTTGTTCATATGGACCACCAAAAGCAATTTGCTTTTTCCTGGCAATGCCAGCGGTGCAACTTTATACCTCTACCTCAAGGTATATAAACTCTCCAGCCCTGTATCATACATTACTTCAAAGGAATCTTGATCCCCTGTCTCCTCCTCAAGGTATCATGCTGTTCCATATGTATTGATACATTATGCTTCCTGGACAAAGTTAGCAGGAAGTAGCAGCCTTCTTGGACTTGATAAATCACATGCACATTAGAAGATGGAAAATGATTTCAAATAAAATCAAGAATATTCTGCCTCACTGAAATTTCTAGGATGCCAGTTGTGTGGGGCATGTAGAAATATTCCTTCTAAAATGGAAAAATTGCTGTTCCTGGTTCCTCCTACTTCCAAGAAAGTGAACACTTAGTGGACCTATACGGATTCTGAGAACAGCACATCCTTACTTGGATGCTTTACTCCAGCCATAAACAAAGGCATTTGGACAACTGCAAGCTTTGAATGGTGCTGGAATATAATAAGAATCTTCAGTGGGTCCATACTGCAGGCTGCAGTGTGGAGGCTGCTTTGCCACTTGGGCCAAAGATCTAGCAGATCCAATTTACCTGAGGTTTCAGTAGCAGATAGGGATCCTGTTTGGAAATTTAGCAGGCCCCTATTCTATCACAATGGAAGCCCTGGGGATTAGAGACCAAGATTGTACCATCATCTGCAGGCAGGCTCATTCCCTTTGAGCGACAGCTGTTGGCCTGTTCCTGAACCTTAGAAGAAAGCAAACATTTGACAGTGGACCACCAGACGACCATGTGATCTCGACCTGCCCATATAAACTGGGTGTTATTTGACTCACCAAGCCAGCTGGTTTTAAATAGTGCTGGAATAAGAGGCTCTTCAACAGGTTCGTGCTGTGGTGCATGCTGTCTTGCCACTACAAAAGCTGGATGTGCACAGTAGCCATCCATCAACAGGAAGTGGTGTATATGAGATAAAGCCTCAACAGGTTCTGAGGGCACAGCAAGTAGTGAAGAATGCCGATGGCTCCACTCCTACTACAATACCTTCTATCACCAAGCATCCACTGATGGCATTCTGGGATTGACCTATGACCAGATGACTAGGGTCTGGGTGTCTGAAGGCTCTGCACACCGCACAGACCCCACCCAGAAGTGGACAGCTACAGCATTACAGCCTCCTCCTAGAACAACCATGGAAGACACAAGTGAAAAACATCATAGGTACAACTTCAGGCAGTGCACATGCTGGGAATTTTGCTTGGAAGGAGAAATGGCAAGATACACTGATGCATGGGCTGTAGCCAGAAAATTGGCTTGAATCTGAACTTGGATCATATTGAAAACATGATTCTTGTACATTCTTCTTTTTCTAGTGCACAGCACTGTTCTTGACACAAATCAAGATTTGGTGGATTGAGTTTTGATTGAGAATGGGTTATTTCTTTAGTGCATAGCATATGGACAATTCAACATAATTCATTTAGTGCCTTTTATGGCCTAACATTTACAGCATTAACAAATGACCACAGAAGACACCATACAATGATTTTCATTAAAAACAGTATCATGGATCGCTAGTAATGCTATGAACAGAGATTTATGGAATTAAACAAGTGATGAGATCTACATGTTTAGGGTGTATTGTAGAGTTCTTAATGGGACAGTAGCATCACTATTAGCTCAATGAGAAGCAGAATAAATTCTTATTGGTACAGTATAATAGTCAAACTACTTAAAAACTGGATTCTAAATTATTAAAACAATATGTTATTAAGCATTAGGATATAATGTAGAAACATCAGAAAACTGATACCATACATTTCTTCATACTACATAAGAGCCATTTTAGAAATACTTGAATTTATGATAGTAAATCATTCATGTTGGAATATACTTTCTCCTAGAGGTTTTCTAATAGGTATTGCTAACATGTGGATTATTTCATAATGTAGTTAGTTTGATTTCAATGTTCTTGGAAGAATATTGAGACTTGCAGAATAGCAGTTAAACTAGTTATTTATATTATACCTATTGAGTGTTACAGAAGGTATCACAGTGCTTCATTTCAAACTACATTACAGAGACAAAATAAAAACAGCACGGCAGGAGAAGGGGATGGCTCTTCTTAGGAAGGGGAAATAGAATAGATATTGATGGATGAACCAGGGTGGAGGTTGAAATGGGAGGATAAACCAGGAGGGGGAGGGAAGATGAGAGCATGAAAGGGAATACAGGGAGGAATGGCTGAAACTAAGGAACATTTGAGGAGTTTATGGACACCTAATACAGTAGAAGCTTACACACACACACAGGTGATTTAAATGAAATCACTAAATATCATGGAATAGAGAGCCCCAGTGAACAACTCTTATTACCACATGAAGCTTCCAGTACCAGGAATGGATTATATCTTACCAAGATGTTGGCCAAAGGCACCTTATGGAAACCTCCAAGAAACCAGACTATTGCCAAGGCTATTGTTTGTTCTTCACAAACTGATGGTAAGGCTTTATTGCCAAAGACAACACCTATGTTAATCACTGATCATGAAAAATTTATGCTGGTTGTCTATCTAGAGTCTATGGATTAGTGTTCATAGTACTGAAAGGTACCGTGCACAGTACCAAAAGAAAAAAGCACCCATCAGCTACCAACCCTTCAATCTACAATACATATAAATAAAAGGAACTAAATTGTTTTTTAAAGAGAAAAATTACCGTTTTTTAACAATCTGCTGGCACATTGACTGCATGTTTTTCAGCATATTGATTATTCTATTATCAGAACTGATTTGTATTAATGGGGTAATTGTGGGATAAGCCTTCATCACAAACTTCTGAACCACTAGGATGACTGGGTCGTACATCCATAATAGGACTGAGGTGAATGAGATGATGAAGTCTGCCCAATATGTGATCACAAAGAAAACCACCAGCAGCAAGATGGTCTGGGTGGACTTTTTCTCAGGGGGCGCTCCCAGGTGGCTGATGCTATGAAGATGCTTGCATTGCCTCTGATGTCTGAACAAGATAATCACCATGTATGCACTTGTGGTCAGCATGACTCCTACAAGAAACACATCTCTGGAAATTGTCAGTGTTAAAATCAATCCCTCGATGATGTAGTTCATGGGGAAGAGTGCGCAGGATTTAGTGACTTTCATCTGGTTGGCATCACTCAGATTGGTAAAAGCACCCACATAGAAGATCCGGTTACTACTGAAGGACAAATTGAAAGACCAAATACAGAAGAAAGCATAGATCATGTATTTTTTTAGTTTTTGTTTAAACTTTGACAACAAAGACGTACTGGGACTTAGAGTGACAGCCTGGAACACACTGAGGAGGCAGGTGAGGCAGATAGAGAGGCCTCTCAGCACCCTGTGTACGTAAAAAGTTGCCTTACATTTGACATCATTCTCAATGTTCAGTGTGTCAAATATGTCTATAAGCCAAATGTCCCCTCCTGTGAGGAGCATCACTAGGTGAACGAAGGCCAGTTGACAATACATCAGATCCATAAGCTTAGGTCTGTGACATAGGATTATGAAAGTGTAGAAAAAAAAAAGACATATATTGGCTAGGACTGCAAGACCAGCTTGGAAATAAAGGACATTATTTAATGAAGACATAAGTGGAAGGTGTATTCATCTTAACAGCACAGAGGAAGCATATTTCATATATCTGAAAAAGATCATAGATACCTCAAACTTGTGATTCACTGGTCAGTATGTCTAGATCATCATTCTATTTTACCTACTTATTCTTGATTAACCTGTCTCTTTAAGTTTTGATGTTTCACACTGGACATTTTCCTACATTTCTACATTCCTCTCCCTGTATCTACCTGTATAAATGTAGCATATTATAGGTAATAAATGCATCCATAGTCACATTCTATACAAAAGGCGCATTTTATGTGCCTGTATTACACCTGGCCCTCATATTTTAGAAATTCAATTTTATTGATTTAAATTTCCCTATTTTATAGTTAATACCTAAAACAACAGTGAAGAGTACAGAATATTAATCACTTTTGTACAACTGAACAAAAATTATGCTGATATGGGGGAAAAATAAAAAAAAGAAATTAAAAAAGTCAGGTAAGTCAGTCTCCTATTTCATAATTTTACCATAATTTATTTTTGTAACCATGTTTTGATGCATAATTCTAAAGGGGTCACAGTGATAATTCATGATAATCCCACTATTTTAGTCAGCAAAATGTTTTTCTCTATTCATCCATTTTTATGTTTCTTTTCCCAAAAAAATCTTACATCTCTCAGATATGGAATAAAAATACAGATGCAGTTGGAGACCATAGTCTACTTCTACAGCCTATTAATTGCATAACTGTTAATTATGGTTATAAATTATCCTAAATGCCACCCAGTTTCGTTTCCATCCATTTAAACCTGAGGTAGGTGAGACTCTGCCTCAGGTTTAAAGAAGTACCTCTCAGCTGTCAAGATAAACACTATATTTCTTTCCTTTGTTGAGGGGGAGGAGAGGTAGATAGTTAACAGTGATTCTTTACGGCTTTCAGCCATCTGTGTTGGTACTTCACTATCTACCTCTGTATTTATACGTTCTGTATTTCTCTCCCTTCCCCCTTCGTAAGGCTCTCCTCACCCATTTTCTGCTTCCCCCATCAGATCAATTGTATTCTGCTATTTCCATTTACCTTCCTCCCACTGTCTTTTGTATTTACCTCCCTCTACTTCCCTATGGAGCCCCCTTTTCCATCTCCCTTCTCAGATCCCTTGTCCTACCATTCCCCTCTACCCTCTTCCTACCTTCTTCTCCCTCCCCCTCCTAAGGTGCCCCTCTTTCCCATTTCTCTGATCAGATTACTGCACATTCTAGAAAAGCACTCCAAAACAAAGACAGGCATGGCCTCAAGCCCTGAGTATTGTTTGCTTGTTTGTTTTGTGCTGGTGAGGGCTCGACCATGCTATGTAGCCCAGGATGTTCTCAAATTTATGTTCCTTATGCTTCTACCTCCTGTGTGCTGAAGCTACTGGTCTGCACATCAATCCAAGTTGTTTAAATTTAATTTAAGTTGTTTATCAGACATCTTTTATTTGATAATTCTGAAAGTTTCATAAGAGAAAAAAAATCAAAAGATTTATTCTAATGTAATTCTAACCAGGAAGTCATAGAATAAAAGAAAACATCACAGATAGAGTCTACAAAGTAGTATAGTGCCAAGGAGAATTGGACCCACTATGACAGGCTGGGCATTCACTAAAAATATACCCACTGTAGGAGTGTGAAACTCGGGGCCACTCAGGATCATGTGAAACACTGGGTACATTGAGAGCAGACACTGGATGTTACAGTTATCGATGTTTTTGGCTTTCCATTACTTTAAGCTGTAAAATTTAGTTGTAACTAATAAAACCCAAAGTGTGCCCATAAACATTTATAATAGTAGAGAAGCCATCACTATTAAATTGACCCAGAGCACAAGACTAAGCAGTGTGCAGGCAGCTGTCTGAAGAGACCTGAAACAAAAGAGACCGAGAGCTGCTGTGTGCGTAGCTCTACATTCTTCCAAGAAAAGTCACTTTTCCCCTCATTGGCACAGTATTTTGATTTTACGACAGTCTTATGAATTTATGGTGAGAATGGGACGACTCAGGGGAGGAGATACGTGGTGCTGCCTGATGGACTGGCTACTGTAGGCAACATTCATAAATCTTCAGGCATCTCAGAAGATAAAGATATTTGCCACCCAAGCTAGTTCCATGGAGCATCTATAAAATGGATAATGACAGCAGGAATAAATACTGATCACTTATTAATAAGGTATTAATTAATAGCTATTATCTGGTACTCTTAATAATTTAAATGCATGACTTGTTCTTTGGAAATTGAGTTCAGCACAGGTGTAATTGGAATCTCACAGATGCTGACTAGAATGTTCCTGTCTCACACTTAATAGCCAGCTCCCCTGAGATGAAGCAGCAGCAGAAGTGTCCCTGCCACGGCTGCGGGGAAGCAATCAAGCTCAGAGATTCATCACAGGTTGCATAGAGTGAGCTTGGAGAAGTGTTCACTGGAAAGATTTGTGCGTGTGACGCTGCTGGACTACTGAGACTAAGAACAGAGCACTAGCACAGCGTGCGCCAGGGCTCTTGACAAGGATCCCTGTACATCTCGGGAGGGAAAAAGTGAGTTCTATAAAACATGTTTGTGAAATAAAGTGATCATTACAAAATGGAGAGTGTGCCTTCTCTTTTCTGGTTGACTTGGTCAGATCCATGGGTTCTGCCTAGTTTATCTGTACCGATTTTTAATGCAAATTACTCAAAACAAACTGAAAATTCTGTAATTATTGCAAACATAAACTCATGTTTCTATCAGTTGTTTTTGTGGTGATGTTACTCTTTGGCCAGTGACTTAATGACAGTTAATGGCATTATTTTGTTCCCCTTATTGACATAAATTTCATAATCCTACATTATCTGTTTTCTATATTATCTGATTTTGCTTTATTCTTCTGTGTGATAGATAGATAGGGTCTTACCTATAGTCAAACTCATGATTCTCCTCCCTTAGCCTTGAAAGTGCTGGGATCATAGGTGAGTGACACTATGTACACTTGCCTCCATTTTCTATTTTAATCTACTATAAATAAGTAAATGATATTCTAGCAAAATAAAAATGAACTTGTGATAATCATCAGCTAAACTTAAATGTACTTGGCATTTTTTGCATTGTATTTTATTGTATTTTGTAACTATTAGAGAAAGCATGGTTGATTTGACTTTAAAAATGTTTATACTATTCGAGAAGTACAAATATTTTCCTCACTGCTAATGAAAAGCTTACTCATTATCACATCAATATCATTTTTTACAAGGTTTAGTTTAGAAAACTTGAAATAGTAAAACTGAATTTGTTTTAATTAAAATACTTTTTGAGATTTTTTCCAGTTTATATTTTGGTAAGACTACCTTTACAAAGATGTAATAAATAAGTGAGGTGAGATTTCCAGATATTTTGAAATACCCAGAAAAGATCTAAGTTATTAGAAATCATTGCAATAGAATAAATAAATCTATGTAATTAAAAAACTTATTATACAATATTAAGAACATCTGATGTTTTACTAGGCCATGAGTTGTAACTTTCCTAAGAATTCCTAAGTATATGCAAACTTAACAAAATAGAAAATTACTAAGAAACACTAAATTAGTTAATATTTGTTAGATATTCCTAGCTTAAGTTTCATATAGACGCATATAGACAGTTAACTTGAAAAAGTTGTAAATTGAAATATTACAAAATGAAATTCATATGTATCAATATTATAAATATTCTCCTAAAAGCCAATAAATGTATGTTCTTTGTTTTTCACCTCTAAATTATTTCAGGTGTTTTGTGACAGGGATGGAAAACTTACACAGTTGACACTAGCTTTTTAAAATGTTTTTAAAATTATTAGAGTACAAGCTTAGTATAATGCATTATCAGGTATACTGGTTAAAATAGTCCATTTGGGTTTACTTTTTACATATTTATCATGTACATTCATTGCAAAAAGAAAAGTTACAGGTTACATAACATTTTCATCCACTATATAATATCCATCGATCGTCTTCACCCTATTAGCCTTTTTTGTTTCTACCCATCCTTCTGCTAGACCTTCTGCTCTTCCCAATAGGCCCCTTATTATGTCATAGATATAATATCCTGAGATCATATTAAGTGAAATCTATGTTCTTCTGTAAATCACTGCATTGATATTTCTGTGCATAAGCATCTGTTGTGTTTGCTTATGATACAGTACAGCTCAAAAGTAAAATTCTAGGCAGGGAATTCTCCAATCACCCCGCTTCATTCTTCCACCTACTTGCAGCTCTCTATATCAATGAAGAAATAAAGAAACACTCACCAGGCTGGGCCTTTGACAAACATCCATGTAGAACGAGGCCCTGAGAATTAGTTATATGGAAGAAATGTTATTAGCTCATCTCCCTCTAGATACGTAATTATCATGTCATCTGAAGTAGGCAGTTCTGAACGTGAGGTTGTTAGAAAGTGGTACCATGAAATGGAAAAGTGAACTTTCCTAATTCCAGGAAAACAGTGAAATAGGAACAGCTGAGCTCTGGGTTTCCCTTGTGTGACCTATTCTCCCCAGGACCTATCTGTCTGTGTGGATTAGCTGATCCCAGTCCTTGTGGAAAAACAAAACAAAAGTAACAACAATTTAAATAATATCCCATTTAAAAGAAGTAGAAAAACATTTTACATTCTCCAAGGTATCCTTCCAGCTTCCAAAACATTCATGGTGACCTCAGGGTCTCACCCAGTAATTAACAGCTCTTTTGTTAAACTTACAAAGATGTCACCTCTTCCAAACACACTTAGGAAAAGTAATCTTTCGTACAGAGAGCACAGGGGTGAGGTAAAGTAATGGTATGATCAGAAGAAAATAGACTGTGGGGCTGGGATGTGTCTCAGCTGGTACAGTGCATGCCTAGAAAGTATGAATCCTGGGTTTCAAACTCAGCAACACATAATCCAACACAGTGATGTACACATATACAATGGCTAGCCTCAGAAAGAAGCCATGGGAGGATCAGAAATTCAAGGTTGTCCTTTGTGACAATGGCCAGTT